TTCTCTCTTACATCTCAGATTTATTGTCTGATAGGTTTTCCTGTTATTTCCTCACAATGATCCTCGCGACACCTCTCCCTGGCCGTTGAGAAATCGAAACAGCTAGAACAGTAGTTGTTTTTGTTTTCTGTCCGATTTAACCGGACAATGTGAAATATTTGGTAGTGAACAGTTTCCAAACCCAACTTGTCTGTGGTTTCGAACCATATAGCCATACTGTCACTCCAGGATCATGGTATGTATGTACTACAGATCTCGGTTCCCTTTGCTGTTAAGCATTACCATGCAGCAAATCTCGAGGGAATATGATGCTGTGAAATGTAATTAACAATATGAACAATTTCTGCTTTTAAACATACAGGTATCATCCAGTACACGTATTTATCTGTAAATCTCTTGGTTTAGTTTAACCCGAGACCGTTGAACGGCCAGTGCACAAAATAGAATAGTCGATACCCGGCCACATACACATAGACACAATCTGTGCATAGAGTTCCTGGGACACATTCTCCGGTATTTGGTAATGCAGTTGTTGGAAAATCTCAGTCATTGATCCATTCACATGTACGCAGGAAGCACACCCTTTCGGTATATTTCGCTCCCTGACTGCAAGAAATGCTCCGTGGGATTTCACAGCCGATGATGATGGTACATGATGAACTTTTCATACAATGTAACTGAATCACTTGGTTACGTCTGCACAAAATTCTCGAAACAGTTCTCAGGTCACTCGATGAAATTCGCAAAGCGTGCTGTTTTCTCACAGAATAAACATCTACATTATGTGCATTGTTTCAGCACCATAGCTACTTTGTTCCGGTCTCTCTCTCTCTAATTCCACCGAAGTTCTAAAATAAATCAGGATTGCTGATGGCAACCATCATCAAACTGTTCGCGGTGACCACTGTTTTTTCGAGTCATTGTCAAAGGTCACTTGGAGGTCAGTTAGACAGTGGAGTGCACACAAAACAACTATGCATCATAGAAACCTAAGCTTTGGTTCTCCTAAGCATCAGTGCGCTTCTAAATAACAAAAACTTTTTTACAACGAAAACTCCGGTCACCTACGCGGGCGATCCGTTTTGACATCCCCAAACAACCCTTTTTCTGAGCGCTTATCCATGGTGCACATTATTCCTTTAACGGTTTTCAGTCACCTGATCGTGATGCGATACGGACCGGACGTTGACTTCTCACACGATCGTTCTCTCTCTCCTTCCACATCTGTATAGATTATCCGAAGAAAAGTCACTTGATCCTCCATCACTCACCCACACGTAGGCACTCACCCTGTAATGAATGCTGTCTTTCAGCCCTATCAACATCATTTTTATGCTCTCCTTGTGCACAAAGCAACGACTAACTTGATTGCCCGCAATTGACGCGCGATTTCATCCGTCCAAACTCCCATGTTTTTTGTTTGCTCCGCTGAAAGTGGTGAGACTTTCTCTCAGACTGAATCAATCTGGTTGCGAAAACAGTTCTTAGGCCTTGCTTCATGTGCTCTGTGTTCCGTGCTATCAGAGATACAAGGACAACCTTGACTTTCAGATCGTGTGCATTCCCCTTTGCATTGTCTACCATGGCAGATCCTCGTCTTTTTCTATACCTGACCGGGCACACTACATTCAATAAGGTTGATATTAATTACAGCGCTTCTGTTCATATCGGTGATCACCTTCATACGGTCTCCTTTGTCACTTTCGTTCGTATAGGAATGGGTGGATGATGTGTTTGCCGAGCCTCGACTACAGGCCAAACCTACCAAACGTCGCGTCTATCTTGCCACGGATGAACCGAAACTTTTCAAGGAAGCATCAGAATCCTATCCGGATTACGAATTTATCGGAGATCCAGAAAGAGCCGAAACTGCCTCCGTTTTCAGACGTTCTCAGGCGGATTCTGTGGCTGGTATCGCGTTGGATATTCTCGCGCTGTCCAAAACCGACTTTCTTGTGTGCACATTTTCCTCTCAGGTTAGTTTTCGCGTTCGCATCCGGTTGGCATGATCCTTATTTCGCACACTCTCGGGATAGATGTGGAGCTGTGGTGGTTCGATTGAGCCAGACGACTAGTAATCGACAGGCAGTTGAATGAAAACATAATACATTGTGGAACAGAAGAGGAATAATCCTCAATCCTTTCGAAGTATACCAAGTTTGTGCAAATTGGGATTTCTGTGGAGTCCGTTGTGAAACTTGTCCGGGTTCTCTTTCATGTTTAGCAATCTCCGGGTTGAAGGTGTGACACCATCGCTTTGATCAATATGCTTACTTACTTACTCTCTATGATTGATATCTTATATGTATTCGCCCTTTGAAGTTCGATCCTTTTATTGCTGTTCATCTGTAGTTTCGGATTGACAATCTTCTGGAATGCGACATGTGTATATTCGTATATCCTCTCACTTTTATATACAGAGTCACACTGCTTGCAAGTAGTCATGGCCGTAATCGCTCAGTTCATCTGCAAACAACTTCAAATTTTAGAAAAGATACCAATAAGGTGAACAAGCTCGGTATCAGAGACTCATCCACCAGCTAACTAACAACACCTTATATAACGATGTATAAATTGAGCCATACAAACTTCGTTTGTTGAATCCCTTGCATCATCGTCTTCTCATTACGAAATCCTTCATTCAATGTTGGTGCGCTTGAGTCCGCACAATGGACCCATTGTATCGGCCGAATGAGAAGCTGAAGCTTGGCAACCGTAATTGACAAACAGAGTTGCAAACTGTTAGATAGAACCATTCGGGTAAATTTTTGTTCTGGTATATACATGAGTTTTATGCGATCAATCGTATAGGTAAACGAGTATAGTGCATGAATTATCTGAGTTTCTCGATTTATGATTTTGTATTCGTCTCATTTAAACACCCTCTCTCTGCGTTCGTTGGGTTTCGTTGCATTTTTCGGTGCGTGTCCAGACGCAGTGTAGAGTCAAATCGTTAGTCGATCTAATACCCTCGGATTTTCCTAGTACTGACGGCTCATTCCTCACGTCCCGTCCAGGTTTGTCGTGTTGCATATGAACTGATGCAAGCACGCCACGGGGATTTGGGTGATGCGAGCGACCGTGTGCAATCATTGGACGACATATACTATTTTGGGGGCCAACAACCATCTCCCTTCGAGACCATTATCGCAGACGAGTCCAACCAGCTACAGCCTGGTGATCGAGTCTCCATGGCCGGGAATCACTGGGATGGTTATGCCAAAGTCACTCCAGTCAAGAGAACTGACGCGATCCTTGTTCCCGCATACAAATTCCAACCGGGTGTCTTGACCGTGGATATGGGCAATCACATGTGATGATAATGAACGTACGCGTGCATCGGTTCGGATCCCGATCACCTGTCTTCCTTGGTGCACTGTTCGCATGCATTTCTGATATGCGTTCTGTATTTATGCTAATCCACTCGAGCTCAGTCGTCTAACCAATCATTCAACGCACTCGTGATGATCTCAGTCACCGCGCTTCACTCCAAAGCATTGTCTTCTCGTTACCTTGGTTTCCGTTTTGCAGATGAACCGTTTTCTTTTTCGATATATTCCCGTGTATTATCTCTCTCCCCCTACCCTGTGTTGCTATCCTGGTGCATTTGAACTGCGTTGCGAAATATCTTTGATCTATCAAGCCCGTTAGCTTCGGCGAACGAATTATCACTCACGATTCCTGGATTAGGCTCATTTGTGTCTGCTAGTAGGCAGCGTACTAGCTCAATGAGATGGTGAATCATTTCTACCACCGACCGGTCGCCCGTGTTGTCCGGTGAACTTTTATGAACCTATCTGCCTCGGTATGCTGTTTACCTCTAGGCCAAGACTACCCTCTTGTCACGAAAATAATGTGACTGGAAGGTGGACATATTTTACTCGCGTGTGTTTTAAAGCTGTTGTATTTGCCGTTCACAGTTCGATTTTCCCTTCTCTACCGCGTTTTCGCATTGTCATCAAGTTTCTTCTCACTGGAAGTTTCTTCCAGAATCACTTGGTACATTTTCTGTGATATTCGTCTTGTAGTTAAGTGTTGTTCGGAACTTACGTTATCCGGTTCGACTTGATGCATGTGATCACTTTCGCATGTTCTGTCTTGCGTGCGCACATACAACTACCTGCACGGCTCCGGTTAAATTTACGATTCTCGGAGAAAAATGTCCCGAAGTAAAGAGAAAAAATATGATGAAATTCCGCGTTATTTTATTGTACTTTCCGAATGCACGTCCCTCGCCCTACCCGGGTCCGTTGATCGTGTGAGGTTTAGAAAAGAATGAACGATCCAAGCGGTTATTGACCTCGGCCGGCCGATTAAGGAAGCGAATCACGGCACGATGGATCGGTAAATCGGTCACCATGTTCAAGCGTGAATGTTGGGATGAATCGTTGCACGAATGAGTTCAGTTCAGGTCTTCAATGGCCTAGGGAGTTTATTCCATTGAGCCCGAAGTTCCCTGGTATAATGCGGTTTCATTTCAATCAAATGCGATTGCGCACATATTTCTGGTGTTAAATGGCACAAGTGGCAAGATGCTTCACAACGGCACAAGGTTGCAATGAAAGAAGTAACAGGGTTTTACCGGAATAGAAAGATCGAATTTGAACTCATCCATTATCTTATAAAAATTACATTACGTGTATCATGCCCAGGAAAGCACATTACGCTACATATAGACAGATCCTTAAACCGGATTCACATAAAAATTTACTCGGAGTCAACTATCGTTGTCGAACTGAACAGCTAAAATCGAGTGTACATGCAAACCAGTGACGAACAGTAAATGTGGATTGTACATTTTGCGGGAGGAAGTGATTAGAAAATTCGATTTCAGCACTTTTTAATCAGTGAAGTTGCACTCAATTGGTCGCCCTAAAAAAGTATGTTCAAACGAATATAAGAGTATACAATGTTTCCTTTATATCTTCTTACAGCTTCCATGCGTTCATGCTTCGTTGAAATAATTTAGTTGTGGAAATAAGGATGCACGTGTCTTTGGATTTTGTGTTTTCTTATGGATTTTGTTTCACCAAAGACCAGTAAATGCAATGGCAGCCGAAATTACCGTATATGACCTTTATTGATGCGACCACAAGGAATTGACTAAATAATGGTTGTACTTTAAGAACATCAGCAGTGATAGGCCACCGCACCAACCGAGGATTTGACTTGGGACCTCGCAGGTGGAACACAAGCACAATACCCATGTGATCAGCAGGTAACCAGTCAGACGGTTTTCCCTTTACTTATACAAGCACGATAATTAACACAACTGTTGAAACCCAACCAGGTCGAAACAGAATTCAAGTGTTTCCTAGCTTTCCCGTTAATACTTCGTTTGAGCTGTATATGACAAAATATACTATATAACCACATCCTCAACCACTCTGGTTTGACATTTTACTTCTGTATTCTTGTTTCCACGTGCATATGACTCCATTCATAGCAACATTCATAATAAGAAAAACATGCACTACCTTAGTTTCGTGTCATCGCTGAAGAAATATTTGATCCGTTGCTTAACTAATGGGGTTTACAAACTTCGTTATTCTGACTCTGGCGAATTCGGACTGGAAAGAATAAGAGCTACTTCTCTAGAGAAGGGTACACGAAGTCATTCATTCATGAAAGCATGATATGATACCCATCTAAAACGTTATTCGATACGGTAGATAGTGAGTTGGTCTATCACTCTATCCCATTCACGGGAGAAACGGTCGGCAAAATACTGAGTAGACGAATCCAATCGTACATCAGGTGCACTGACCTTTCGACTGAACCCCGCATTACGTTCTGTTTCAAACCTGTCCTCTTGATACAGACCGAAGGCAGATTTGCCCAGGATGTAAACTCTTCGTGTTTATCGATTGAGGAATGGGTGACGGCAACCCCGTACCGTCTGACCGCGCCTAATCGT